AACCAGCTGGAGGCGGTGGGGGATATTAGATAGAAAGACAAAAACTTTGTCATTTTACACTGTGTGTTTTTTTTTTTTTTTACTGAAAAGAAGATGATCCTTTTGATACGGTGACCAAGCAGGAGCACCATACTCAATGATAGGGTGGACAAGAGCGCGGTAAACTTTTATAACACGATCCCGAGATCGAACCAACTTAAAACAAACCCCAGCCACGACACCAGACTTTGCTGCTAATAATGTCACTCCAAAAATTGACAAGGCCATTTTATTCTACGTTTCCCTTATTTAAGCATCATAATACTACATAATACAAAGAGAAAAACTATATATAGTACAAGTTACCAGAATTAGAATACCTAATTAAGCATTTATATAAAAACATTCATATTGCACTTAAACTCATAGTGCACATTATCAGTTGTAGACTTTCCTTTAATTGGGTTTAGATTGTAACCATTTTCTGCCAACGATAGGCGCACTCTAAAAAAATTCTCAAAAGGGAAGGCGGTGTCGTTTTACACACTGGGTTGGCTCGCCCACAAGTTGGCTTTCGGGTTTGGTGAAAGAATCTGTGGTAAGTCAAAAATTATTTTACAATTTTAGTTGGACGTGTAGTGACATATTCCTTAAAAATTCAACTTGCTGTTTAAATTCATGTCCATGTGTAAGTATGGTAAACAACTAGGCCTACGGTATATATTTTCTCTGTCTGTAGCAGTAGATTCAACCGAATGCTAAACAACAAGCTCCCTCCACCTACTGTAGTCTGTAGCTAGGCCCTGGCGGCACCTCTGTTAGGCCGGTGCGCCTTAGGCCTAGCTTAGGTGTTTTAGACTAGACTTTAGTATACCGAAGTGTGCCTGAATGGCGAAAGGTGAAATCTAGTGTATAGGCGAATCGAATTTGTCGAATATTTGACATCGGCTAGCCTACTGCTAGGCCAGGCCTAGTACTTATGCTAGCTATTTATTATAGCCTAGGCTAGGCCTAAGCCTATTTTTTTAGGCTAGGCCTAGCCCTAAGCCTACAATAAATTATGTACTTTGCGGGAGTAGATAAATGCAGTCTTGGCTAGGCATAGCTGACTAACCAAGGCCTCAACTCAGGCCAGGCTACAGCTAGGCAGAATGTCAGTTCGACCGGATGCATTTAGTGCGAACTAAACAAGGGCAAATTTATATCGTCGCCCTTTTTCCGATCAGTGGAAAAGGCATATAGTAAAATTAAAAATATTGGCGTTTGTGAGCAATACAGTTTAATTTTATATAGGTAAGCAGTAAGTATATATACTTTTAAATATAAGATCTGATAAATATAGGGTGATTCCATGTCAAATCAACCAGTTTCAGAACAAATCCCCAGGTGACCCCCTCAGATTTTAATGAAATTTGGTCAGAATGATGATATGTTGCTCATATGAACATATGCAAAATTTGAAAGTCATACTCCATGTCGTTTTTGAGATATGGCCGTTTGAAATTTGCTGGACTTAGTCATTTTATGCACTCGTGAATCGTGAAAAGTGACATTTTGAATAATTTCGGATTTCAGAATGCCATATTTTAGTCTACAGACAAGACAAAGAGCTCAAAGTTGGCATTCTGACTTACTTTTTGCCGAATTTTATGAATCTGCACTCAGATTTAAAGTATCATCTTTAGATTTCAAGTTATGATTGTCTAAAGTAGGGTCCAGAATGAGCGATTAAGTTTTTTTTCAATTTTTGGGGTGACCCTGAATGAAAACTAGAGGTAACATGGGCTCCATTCTACTTGAATATAATCTATGGTCACAGGACTACATCCAGAAATAATAACAATCCCATTAAAGCTTTAAATCAGAAAATACAGAGTCCCAAAATGGGCCCCAGCCAGAAAAATCCTTTAAATGGCTCGACATTCGTGACCCCGGATGACCCCGCGATCAGTTGAAATAATTTTTGAAACTCTAACCTGTCAAAGATAGGTATCATAGTAATATGTACACAAAATTTCAGCTTTGCTACTCAACTCCTTCAAGGTGCCTTGTCTGTTTGAAATGGAGCCATTTTTCATAAAATTTGACTTCAAGCAATGTGTATAAAGGGAAAAGGATACATTAACATTAATGTCTTACTATTTAACTTATAATCAGTCCATAAAAGCCAATTTCTATGGAATACACAAATGGCAAACTTTGAAAAACTTGCGATTAGTTAAATTTGCATTCAGTTAGATTCTGTACATTTACATGGATGTCAAGGGTTCGCATCAAATGGTGGCCTGTATGGTTCTTGAGCAAAATTTATTGCGAAGTTGAGAACTCATGACATCGTATTATTATTAAGACCAAATTACTACAAGAAAGTTTTTAAACCATTGATTCTTTGCTGATGATACTCTCAATTTTGAGTCCCAGTTCCTTTACTTAATAAATTCTGAAAGTTTAGTTTTAATCATCTCAAAATCTTCATTTGTATGTTTGTAGTGGCGACCACCATGACCCATTAGCTGTGGAGCCAAAACAATGCATATTATGTCTTGCAATGGTATCCAGCATTCATTGTATGTATTTTGTTGCCAAGATAGAGTGTTGGATGTTCTTGCTCGCTTCATGAACTTAACATACACATCATTCTCCTCATCTGACCGTTCGGTGACCATACCAATGTACCACTCACTGTCATAAATGCAAGCAATATAACATCCAGGTTGACATTCATTGGTCACTATTTGATTGCTTACACCTGCATGGACACTGTTGATGGTAACAACATCAGAATGCTGATCACTGGATAATCGTCGCATTTCAATATTTCCATCATCAGTTGGTATAAAGCTGTGGTGTGACTTGGTTCCTGCAATTGTTTTGGAGGATGCAAACCTGTCACTAAGGTTATACTTCTCTGCATTGGCTTGAATGTCATCACTACTAACATATAGAAATTTAATTCAGGTGATGTTCCCATCAGCCCACTCAAACATCTGCAGTGGACTGAGAATTTGGTTCTCAACAGTAGCTTGGAGGCTTGCTCTGGCAACCAGCCTTTTTGTGGACCCCCTAAGCCATCACACGGGCTCTTTCCATGACTGGTTGCGAAGAAATGCCATTCAGCAATAAGTCCATGATCAGATGAATGGTGACAGAGATTTGTCATATTTTTGTGATTTTTATATTGGCTTGCAGCCCCATCACTGTAATATATGCATTTCCGCAAGCCTGGAATCTGATCCTTGATGTAAGGAATCAAGTGAGAGATGAAAGCATGGACGGCTGTAGTATCATGTTTCATACAATCTGAAATCATAACAACGCTTATGCACTTCAGTTCTCCTTCCACATTATGATATACTGCAAATGGATGCACTGTGGCTTGACTATTATCCCAGTAATAGCCCTGTATAGCATCTTGAACGAGGAAAC